ATGGTTTTGTTTCGGTTTGTTTGTGGAGAAACTGGATGAGTTGTCGCTTTGATTTCTGCCTGGATGTGAAATATTGTGCAGAAGGCCGCTCGCTAAATGTGAGGAAATCAAGCTGAAATTTAACGTTTTTATTTGCTGAAAATTCAAGGAATAAACACGACGATTTACTGAATCCGTTCAAGGAGAAATAAATTAGATTGAATCTGGTTTTTAAATTGATTTCAAGCTCAGACTTCTGCACGGTGCTGATGTAAATCTGTACATACAATCTGTGTTTATCCAGCAAACGTGTCCTGAGAAAACCTGTGTTCAAACTCTTTGTTTTCCATCATGTTTAATAAAAACTTTTGTCCCGGAACAGAAGCTGCTGCCTCCCTGTCACACAGACCTGCAGGCCAGAAAATACAAATAAAAAACATGAATAATTCAGATCAAACTGTCAGAAATTATTTACAAAGCTGGACGGAGTCTTTTTAAAGCAGCAGGAGAAACAAACTGAAAATTAGAATCCAAAGAAAAAATGTCTTTGTTTTTTATTTGTGCTGATTTAAATAATTGTTTTATTTGTTTAAAAATAGTTAAATTAATTAATATTTGTTTATGGATTTAAACTTTAATTTATTTAGAATTTAAAATAATTTACTAAATAAAACGGATGCAGTCTAAAACAATAATAAAGCAGTAATAATAATAATAATTAATATTAATAGGTTTTTCTCTATCATTTTTCTGGTTTTTCCTCCTCCCGCGGAGCTCCGGAGCAGCGGCGCTCGGCGGGAATTCAGGCCGGAGACGGAGCTCCTCTCAGCGGCCTCCGCGCGCCGCGTCAGCCGGTGATGGATGGATCCGCGTCCGAGGTGAGCACCTCCTCCTCCTCCTCCTCCTTCTCCTCCTCTCTCACGCGACACCTTCTGTGTCCGGCGGCTGGTGGCACACGCCCTCGCGCGCGCGCGGTGTGATGGATGGAGGAGCGCGCGCAGGGACGGATGCTGATGATACTCCGCTGTCAGGCCCGGCAGCTCGTGCGCGCGCCCGTGTGTCGCGGGTCAATCGGAAGGTCAAAGTTCACCGTTAGAAACCACCAACCTGAATATTAGATAAACAATAAAATATCTTTATTATCAGTAACTTTTCTAATTAAAAACACATTTAAAGTCCGAGTTTTTGTCTTTTAATTTATTCTTTTTATTTGTTTATGAAATA